CATACAAAAAGCACTCGAATTGAGAACCTCCTCCTTTTTTAAGTCGGTTAAAAAGAGTTATTTATGTAGTTAATTTAATTTTCATACTGTCTGCCTATTCAACATCTAGTTATTCGCCAAAAAAGGTTTATAAAGAAGGATGGCGAAAGCTGACCCAAAATCAACAAAGTGCCGTTCATGCACTTTGCTACTATAAGTTTACGTTTTAGCTTATGCCTAGTTATTAATATATTTTTGTATATTTTTAGAAGTCGGAAATTAGGAAATTGTTAAACAAAGTATTTTAGAATAAATGCAAGAGCACAACGCAATTGCTTCAGTTCGACTATAAATTAGGTAACGTTCTTGTACAATCAAGAGCACGTCAAGCTTGACACTTTGTACTTTGGACCGTTCTTATCGTAAGCGGCATAGAGTTAGATTTAAGTCTTAAGTGTCAAGCTTGACGTGCTCTTGACCATATACGTACTTTTCATTTTAAGCACGATAGAATGTTTACCTACCTAAAGTATTGGTTATTTTATAGTACCATAAAATAAAGCAATAAAATACCTAATGAAAGAAGAAGCAAACAGTAATGATATAAAGTAAAAAATGAAAAAATGTGACAAAAATGTTTAGAGAATATTTAAATTAGAGATAAGAAAGTTAGCGAAGGAACGTTTTGACAAGAGGCGTCTTGCCAATGTCAATGTCACTTTGAGATTGAGAACAGTGTGACCATTTGTGGAAGATTTTATTTTGACTCATTTTCATTGCGGCAGAACATGTTAACGTTATATTAAATGTGGCAGAGTTTGGCAGGAGTTTAGGAATAATCAGCAAATTCTTTATTATTTTTGGGAACGAACTGAAAACTTCTTGTTTTCTGCTACTACGAACAAACATCTGAAACGAAATACAGGACAATGTTAAAAACATAAAATATCCTATATCAACTTTATAATCCCTATATTCAATAGCTTTTTTGATGCTTTGATATTGAATCACAAGTACTGATAGGTATTTTTAAAGCACGCCGTCAAAAATACTGGGTCACAAAATACACGAGATATCGCCATCCTTCTTTATGTTCATAAATTGTTTGTTTTTAACTCGTCATGTAAAATTTGTAGTTTGGTATTTACACCCTGCATTCCTTTAATTATCGAACAAACAATTTTTCCTTTCTTTACTTTTAACTCTTTTTAGTCAAAAATATAAATTACATCAATTAGTATTGTAAACGACGAAACGTAGTCACCAATATAACGGTTCGAACAGTCAAAGTAACCGAAAGCGCCAACACAATAAGTGGACAATTTTATTAACACGTTGATCTACTCGAAAATGTGATGTTACGTTTGACTGAAACCAACCTTATTTTAAAGAGACAAGAATGTGTTTTCAGTGATCGCTTTTTAAGCGAAGAAATAAAATGATAATGGTTAGAAAATAGCCAATTAGATGCTACCAAATGGCTATCTGGTTGGTTTCTCGACACTGACATTTTCTATCAATGAAATTTGAATAAAATGACTGCGGAACGCTCATTGAATTCAGTTGCAATCTAATTGCACCTTGATATTATTGTTATTAGATTCTTTTTCGTTGTTCCATTATAGATGAGAAAAGACTTCGTACATTTAGGACTTGAGATCTGTCCAAAAATGACAAATAATTAATTACGAATAAAAACTATAACGAACTTTTCTGAACTATGATCTCAGTGCAATAGGGGTCAATTGACATTTCACATGCCAATCACAATAAGCGAAACTAATTATCTCATTTAAGGAATACTTTATGGTTGCTTCGATATGTTTATCGTGAAACGTGATACATTTTATCATATACAAATATCTTCCTGGTTGTGACATTAAGTCAGGAGATACACAACAGCGTCTTTCTGTTCTTCTAGATCAATGGTATAAATCCAGGAGATGACGACAACTTCTCCGTGTAAAATCTAATAAATTAAATTTTGTACATATTTCTGTCGCCAAGCAGTATTGTGAGCGTTACTGCGTTTCGGTTTTGAAAGGTTGGGTACTGGTAAAATTACAGGCACATGGGATTTTTTAACTTTATGTCTCAGGTTGATGGGCGGAGTGGCAGTACTCCTCAGGTCTTAGCAATGTGGCACTGCAACTGTTATGGGTAAACCTGTCGCTTACCAGCAGGTAGACCGTCACATGATATCATAAACATTAGTAGCAGAAAGAGTTCCAAGTACCAGGGAAGTACTGCCACCTTACCTATTTCTGCCGCCAAGTTGTAATGTGAGCATTACTGCGTTCCGGTTTCGAAGGGTAAAGGTGCTGGTGAAATTACAGGCACATGGGACTTGTCAACTTATGTCTCAGGGTGACGGGCGCAGTGGTAGTGCCTCTGAGTGGCACTGCAACTGTTATTGATAGGCGTGTCGCTTGTCACCAGGCGCACGACTTGTGCGACCCGTTTCCTGGGTACTATAATTTTTTTTTATTAAAGTCCATTAAAGGCTCTTTTAGAGAGGTCTTATGTTCAAGAGTATGGCATTTAAATCTTTTATAAAGCTAACCTCTCTTCTACAATATTGTGTAGTCGATTTACATTGACCCAGTATGTAGTACAGTGTAGATTTAGTAGTTCAAACTCATCCTTAGTTTTTACGACGCCGCTGCAACACGAACTGCAGCCAATTTGCAGTAAAACAACTTCGTTGTTGTGGTATTACATTTTGTTTTTGAGATTTTTAAAGTAAATGGGAGCTTTCATAGCTTCGGCTACGTTTATAAAGGGTGTAACAATAAAAAGCGGCTATTTTTTGTTTCTTGTGATCATATTAACGAACATGAGGCGTTAAAAAATTACAAAATCACGAAAAATTTTTGGATCCTGATAGGAATCTATTGACTGCGACCTTTTGGATGGTTTTGTATTTACTTTTTTAATCAAAGTCACGAAAACAAGAGAAATACGTAACATACAGTTGCACAAAAGTAGGTTAACTTTTAATTAATTAAATAACATACTATCTAAAGATTTGCTTTGATGAAACGGACAAAGTCAAAGGCTTTAAGTAACTTGCTGTATGCCTGTTGTAACATGTTATCGATAACTTTTCAAAGTTTTTTACCTATTTTCCTACTTCCGGTATACACACAAAACGTAGGCACATAATAATATCTATTGAAACGTTTAATGATATTACTCCATTTTCGTAACATAACATAACATGAACGCAGCGATTTTATTAACCAACTTAAATAATATCGTTATTATTTAAGTTGGTTGACATAGACATTTTATTGACACGTAGTATGTTTGCAAATTTTATATGTAACCACTTTAACCGCAATTTTATGACGCTTTTGGGCCAATTGAGGATATTTTGTTTTATATTAGCTTTTGTTGTCAATGTGCATTCTTTCAGAGAAGTACTACCGCTTTCAGTGGAGACAGAACGCCTAGTCTGTTTTTGTCACTATAAAAATGTATGTATTAAAAGTCCTCCGCATCATCCTTTACGAGCAGTAACACTTAATGAGCGACAAAATACGTTTAGGTCTCGATACTGTTCAGTTGGGGAGGTGCTTAATTTATCTCGTCGGCTTTTAAAGGAACAATTATATATAATGCCATCATCTGTATCTCCCGAAAGCTCCAATTGAGGCTAGAGTGAATAGGCACTAACTATAACTAATATCGTCTCTCTCGAATGAGATAGACGAATGTCTATTTCACAAAAAAACAATTAAACGAAATTTTTTTGCACCTACCATAATCTACCATATCATCTATCTACCATAATGTTACATAGAATGGAAATGGCTTAAAGCTAAATTAACAGCGCATTATGGACCCTGTAGGGCACTGCAAATTATATTTGGATACTACAGGGTTTATTCTTTATAATATTTAGAAATGTATAATGTTGTAGGACATGATGATATTGTGTATTCACAATTTGTATTTTATAACATTTTAATTAGAAAGCTTGTAGTATTGACAAGCTTCTATGTTATAACAAGAGTTGTATGTATAGCCGTTAATCAATAAAACGGCTTTAAAAGGAATAAAACGCAAGCAGTAAAAAGTTTTAAAATAATTTATTGAAATTGTAGCATCTTAAAATCAATTCTACTTTATTTCAAGAGTTCATTTTTTGTTCTGCCATCTACTAGTTACTTCAAATGGAACCTTGTGTCCACATGTTAAGGAGATGGCTTTTGTTTTGTCTCCTCAAAGTTAACAACACTAACTAACTAACAGCGTCAGGGTATTTTTAGCAATGCTGTGTTTAGAAATGTTTAATTTTCAAATATTCCATTGCTTCTTCAAAAAAAATGTTTATTATTTTATTGTTATAGCGGTAACAGCCGGCGTTTTAGCTGCTTTTTTATTTTTTAATAATTATATTAATACGGGTTTTTTAAAATGTATTTTAAATTTCCATGGCGACTTTTGAGTTTAGTTTATACGTCAGCTGTTATCGTGTGTTTATAAACGTTATCACTTCCAGTGTCGGATTTGTTTCTGTTGTAAATATTATTTTCTTCTCATCTGTCCCATGCTTCTTTGGGTGTATTATTTTCAACCTTCTGTGGGTGTAATTTGTAATGTAGTGACCTGGGATAAGTGTGCCCTACCCTAAATGACATTTTTATTTAGTATGAGAATCACGTCACAACATAAATCCCTATGTATCAATATCCGTACACGTCCCACTGTTGGGCACGGATTTGTTCTAAGCACATCAAACCACTGTCACCACAGAATATCTGCGTCGGGTTGTTTAGCATGCACAATCCGACAAATACTGAGTGAACACCGTTGGATTGGACTTGGATCTCATTGTTTAATTTTATTTAATAAATTTTATTTTATGTTTTTCATAAAAAATTAAACTAAATAGACATATATATTTTGTTTATTTCTTTCTTTTATTTATTTGGGCTTAAGACACACTTATACCAAAGTACGTTTTTATTTAAATGTTTTATTTCTATGTATTAATGTGTTCTTTCGTTTTTTAGGATATGACGAGACAGTCCATCCCAGTGGCCGCCAAAGGTAAGAATGTTTTTTTGTATTTACTATTGTTAGGATCCAATTTTGTTGATTTCAATTGACAATAGCTGAAATAACAAAGCGTACTGTCGAGGTTAAAGGGGCCTAATTCGAAAAGTTACATTTTTCGGAAAAGTACCAAAATTTTGACGAATGGCATTATGGCTGGTGTCACGTACATAATAATTTTGATATTTATTTTGTTAGTTTTGAAAAGAACTTCTCGAATTAGTCTTTAGTTACTTTATTATTGTGCGTACGTAATCGTAATACTTAGGGTGTAACAAACAGGTTTAAGCTTGTAATCACAGTTATGATAACAATTTAAGCAAAAAAATCTTAATGTTTTTCCTATAAACTATAAGTGGATTTCAGAATTACTACAGAGATACAGAATTTGTTTTTTTGCTAATCTTATAAAAAATACTTTATTTGATACGCCGTACAATACAAAAACGAACAAATTAGTACTAAAACAAACATGTCAAATTCGCTTATAACTTAGTTACACAGGATAATGGAGTACTTGCTCTTGCTGATATTCTACTTTAACCGATAATGGTTAAGACCACATGTGAGCAAAAAGAACAATTAAATACTAAAATATTCAAGAACAACACAACGCGTAAAGCTCAAATTAAACGTCGCGTCGCAAATACAACAACCGGCAGAAATATATGATAGTACCTTTTTTTACACCCTATATGTTTCGTCGAAACTTAAAGGATCCAACGTGTATATTAAAGTAGTATGTATAAATAACGATAATTCTATACAGGCTGTTTGTAACCCATTTATTTACGTTAATAAAAAGTATACGTTATTTGAAAAGAATAACCATATACAGTACCGTCGAATGATTCACGCTGAATCCTGTGTAATGTAATTATGCGGCGTTTGTTCACAAAGATCAAGTCAGCGAGTCATAATAACAGTCTGGGCGATCTTAAGGACCATTGAGGCTGTGAGACCAGCGTATAGCGGAGCGGTTTCCGAACTGATTAGGCGATGTGGAGACGGAGGATCGTTGTGGCGATTTTTGAGGGACGAGGGACGTTTTTTTTAATATCCAGCGACGGGGCGAACTAGCGCCTGATGGTAAGCGTACTGTCTATAACAGTTGCAGCGCCACTCAGAGTTTTAAATCGCAAAGATCTGAGGGGGACGGCCACTGCGCCCGTTACTCTGAGACAAAAGTTCATAAGTTGACAAGTCCCATGTGCCTGTAATTTCACCAGCACCCTTACCCTTCAAAAGCGGAACACAGTAATGCTGACATTACTGCTTGGCGGCAGAATTAGGTAAGGTGGCAGCACTTTCCTGGACGAATTCTTTCACAATGAGCTTTACTGCTACTAAAATGCAATTTTGTAAGGCAAATTGTACTGCGCCCCTAGCGGTCATAAGAAGTAACATACAAGTATTTTACACGATCGCTAGGAACATCTGTCAGTAAAAACTCATTGTAGGCATACACGTCATTCATACTTAAATTGTTCTATTTAAACGTAGGCAATTGTTCAATGTCACACATTACGCGAGTGGCAATGAACTGTATGCTGATACCTTCTTTGTCTGTTGTTTATTGTTGTTATTTTTTTCCTTTTTATTTTTTGTTGATATTATTCTGACTTTAAAAAATCTCTGATTGTCTTTACTAAGCATTTTTATCTTCAGATGAGATCAGTGTTGTGACGATGACGACTCTTCCATCGCCATCTCACCTTTTTATCACCCATTTCTGTGTCCTGGCCACTTTTGAAATTTCGATCCTTGTCTAATTCTTTTTCTTCGCCATTCTTACTTTGCTGCGTTCCATCAAAATTCTCGAGGAGAAAAGACTTTTGGGGAAAATTCACTTAGTTTTATCTAACCTGTAAAGTGTTTTTATATTATTGTACCTGTTTTTATACCATTGTTTTTCTTATAGCCTACTTCTTTCTTATCCTTTGCCTTTTCCTTACTGTTTTACCTTTTACAATAAATGATGTGGACCGAACTTTACTTTCTATCATTATTATACAAGACCCGCGTGACATTGTAACAAGAAAGTGTTGTATTGTGGAAGATGATACTAGTGACTATGATAGAAAAGATAATGCTACAATGCTTTCTTCTTAAGCATAACATGTATTTTAGTAGAGTGAACGACAATAATATTTTAGATGAACACCTACGGAAACGTGAGGAAGGTCTTTCTTAAGTCATTTAACTTACTCTTGATCTCTCTTGATTACCTAGTCCTGAAGCGAAGATAGGGTCTACGATGGAACGAGCTCGTCCAGAAGATGCCTATTTAGTCGCACCATAAAGATCCACGGTCGGACGAACCGATTTAACACATAGGTCGGTCTCGGCGTACCATCTCAAGCAGACGGAGGATGTTCTTAAAAAAACGCTAGGTCAAGAGCACGTAGTATAAATGCGCGTAAAGGGGAAACAAGAAAGAACAGGTGTACCAGGAGTATAACGGGTCGAATTTCAAGTGGTCTTTGCGACTTTAGCCTTTAGATTTATATTAGTGTGTCGCAATCTGACGTGACAGCTTGTGCAGTGTGTATGTAACCAATACCGTTCTGACGGGTCACGGTACGACAAGGCAGACAAATGTATATCGTCGGTTAAAAGGTAAAACTCACTAATAGCCTAATTGGCCAAAGGGAGATAATTAAGATTTTGTATTTTTTCATTATGAAAAATCACTAAAGGACTGGTATGTATTAAAACATGAAGGACACCACAGACTTACTGAATTTTTCTTGTCATAGATGTTCTTCCCAATAAAGCAAAATTGAAAAAATCTAGTTTTTGAACAAAATGTCACTTAATGAGTTTTACCTTTTAACCGACGATATTATGTCCGGCTTTATTTTTGCATAATTTATTCTACTAAATTAATATCGCTTGATAATCGCTTGGTTCGCGAATTTCGTGGCTCTTCACTTACTTACTTACATTGCGTAGCTTTCAGTTTTTGCCGCGTGTTTTGAGAATTTCTTTGTTTGTTACCGGATCCGATGTTGTTGTGGGAAAACGATGCGATTGTCGTGTGTTTTGTGCAATTTTCCCTTTTGCCGTGATTACTTGTATGATAGTCTTTATATATATTTTGAGGTTATTTAAGTTAATTGATTAACGGATTTTGTTTACAGTTCTTTGTTAATTTCAATTGTAAACGTCGCAGCTGCGATTCCGGGTACGACAATTTGACGAAACTTTTTTTAATAAATGGGTTCTGGTTTGAGTGTTTTGGGTAGTGTTTCCTTGTTGATCTGGTACTCACAGTGCAGGGATTTATCTGGTTTAAGACCAGGTAGGTATTCGGTCTTGTTGTCTGATAATTATTTGTAAATTGTCGAAAAAAAAAATTCAAACTAAGCGTACATTAACATGAACAACGGTATTAAGCGCTAAACTCTTTCGATGACTAAATATTGATATTCCCAAAAGGAGGGCGATCCCATCACGCGATGATTCAACGTCCATATAAACACTAGTCATTCACATTCACCTTCTCTGTCTGGCACGTGATTATATAATGATGTTAGAAAAAGATAAGTATAGATACAGTTCTGCAGAGGTCAATGGTCTGTGATCGGCGCTTGAACAGGTGACGACTGAAACTTATATGTGATTGAGTGTAAATAGAGACGAAAAGAGCTTTTACTTCGTTTTATTATTTTTTATGAGAGAGGAGATCCGTGCCCAGCAATGGGACGTATAGATGTGTTGATAATGCTGATAACAATATGTCAGAAAATCGCACCTAATCGCTGGTCTCAAACTAGGGAATTCCCTTTACTGTGTGTACCAGAGCAACGGAATTCACTCCTTCCCTTTTCACTTTCACAATTTCACTCCTTTCCTTCCCATTTCTGAAATTGGTCCTACCTGGAATCGATCCCGGGGCAATCATCCAGTGTCCACAGAGATACCCTTGCACCCTGGGGCCGGTCCATACGTCCATACAATGTAATGCTCAAAACTCAATTTTCAGGATATGGGTAGTAAAAAATGTATAAGTACATTAGCGTAGTCGTAATAAAGAATCAAATCACGCGTAAAAATACTGACAGTAGTTAGCGCTATTGTCAGTTGTGAAGTACATCAGCTCAAAGTTTGCTCATACCGCTAAATAATAATTATTCCGTAACATACTTGAATATATGTGCATTACATATTAAAATCGATTTACCAAGATTTTAAAATCGTGTCCAAGCAAGATATGTCGAGTCTCCTAACATTTTTATTATTTTGTAAGTTTATCGGTATCTGATATACGGCTAATTGTATTGTAGTAGTAGGAGTTTTTTTGGTGTGAAATTTTTAAATTATAATTTTTGCGCGCAATGTTCTGTATTTGAATCATACTTTATTATAAACGGCAAGCTTTGTATATTAGTAAATTGTGCAAATCGGCTATAGAACTTGCGCATTTACGAGAATAAAACATTTTATTGGCTATTAGCTTTTTGAAAGGCATTACTACAAATTTATTGCAAAATTGGCGGCTTAAAAATCTCATCTTTTGGTTACAGTGTTCGTGCTCTAGGCAGTGATCGTGTGCATTTTGCTGTCCGGCAGTTGGCGAATTATTTGAGATGCCCATTTGTCAAAACACAAGAAATAATATCCTTAGAACCGAGTTCTTGTTCAACACTCGTAACTGAGTTCGTTCACCACAGCGATAACTATTTAATAACATAAGGTCATGACCTGAAATGCGAACTACAGTAATGTTAAAGGCAAACGCTACATTGTTATTTTTAAAGTATATAAAGAATTCGTCCTACTGATACCAGTACACAACTAATATGGTGGGCTGTTGAGAATAGAAATTTTTCAGAAATTTATTGACGCATTCTCAATTACTGAAATACAGGCATCCTTAAATTTTAAGGTCATGTGTGTCACATTTTATTGAGTCTTCCAAAAAAGTTGACAATACTGAAAGAAAAGATGACGAATTAGCGACGGGTGTCGCGATATGCTAAGGTTAAATT